AAAAAAATGCTTTATTTTTCAGGCACTTCTTCCAATAGGCCCAGCTGTTGAGATCACATGACACTGCTCCACTGAGATCACGTGATCCGTTTTGTTGACGGTTCATTTTGCACGATGAATTCTCCGATTTATTCAGCCGCTGGTGCAATGTCATCGCTTTGCTAGTGGACTGGAGGGTTGATAAACCTGGACAGGGTTGCGGACCTCCTTAGCTCTACTAATGCCCGCCGAGGCTCGATGGTGCCGGTGAAGGAAGAAGCCCCGCAGTGATGGTATTGTTATCGGTTTAAAGACAAAAAACAAAAAAAAGAAAGGAGGAATTGTTTTCACCTCCACCAGGAAGAGGGACCACAAGCTCGCGAAGTTCATATGCCGAAACCTGCTTGTATTCGAGGTAATTTTGACATATTTATGTCATGAAACACTACTTTGTCCCTTCAGTGGAGATTTTGAATGATTAATAGTGTGTCAAATGAAGTAATGCCGGTGAGTCAGCACATTGTATTAAGGAAATACCTAGCTTGTCCCTCAGCTCCATCATTAGCATTCATCAGAATCCTTTGGGATTGACGAGCAGGCCGATTGTCCAATCAGGAGGCCCAGAAGGCTGCTTCGGACCAATCAGAGAAGAGCTCGGCAGTTTTTTAGTTAACAAGGAATCTCACGTCTGTCATGGATTGTGTTTATTGTTCGCCACAACATACTCAGAGAGAAATGCTCCTAATATGTAGCACATGGTCTTCTGAATGCAATTTCACGGCGAATACAGTAAATTAAATTAGACCTAATGTATCATAAAGGGGTTGTAGCTACTCAGAAATGAACGGCACCAGTGTGAAATTCCCTGTACCAGTTTTATTACATTTATGAACCCGTGTGCTTTGCTGTGAAATTAAATCCAAATGAGGCAAACCTGGCTGCTGCAGCTCTATTTTTATCCCTATATCTGCTAATTTAATATTGGCAAAAGTGTATGTGCTGTTCTGTCAGCATGGCAGTTTATTAGCTGTTTTATCAGGCATATCTGTCACCATTTTATTTCCCTGTTTCAAATAAAAAACACATCTCCATTGGCTTGTCTAACTGGTTCCGGATGCCAACAACCTGTTTCTTTAGCTCATTTGCCTGTGGTTGTCTTTTTTCCTAACTGAACACATTTCCAGGCTGATATCACCCCTTTTGTTTTAAAGGACCAGTTAGACTTGTTTCCCTATCTCTATCTTATGATTTCCATCATCATTTCTCTATTTGTGTACAGTAGTTGTAGAACGTCTGACTAAAACATGCTATTTTTGATACCACTGATTGCTCAATTTCACTTCTCTTTTTTTGTTTTCTAAATTTATTCTGTAATAGAAACTGAGATCAGAAACCTTTACAGCCATCACTGCTGGTGGAGTTTCCAAAAACCTACTCTACAACTAATCTAGAGTAAAGAGAGAAAATTGTACATTTAGCTCTAACCTGAAAATAAAACGAACTCTTTTTTTCTCTGTTTCCAGCCACCGTAGAAGGCTGACTGGACTGCGTACTGTTCAAAATGGCTATTGTGCGACAGTTTGGACTACTGGTCTGGAAAAACTATCTTCAGCAGGTGAGTTGGACGGAGGTGACCCTACCCTCAGTCTGTATGTGTCCTTATTAGGTGCTGACAGTGTTTGCAACTGTGAATTGTCAGAAGTAACTGTATTTACAGAACAGAGGCCTGTATGACAGTATTTGTTAAGTTATAGGCATATAGTGCATAATAAATACAGTAAACTGACTAACAATTTGTTTTCTACAACTTATGATCTTACCCAGCTACTTGGAAACTGGTTGGCCCAGTGATATACAGCGAGGCTGTACTTTTGTTGTGTCACAGGTTCTGGCTAGGTCAACATCTTGGTAGATGTCAAATGCTTTTCCTAGCCTTATATAGCTATCTTTAGGGGGAATCACTGTTTGTTATTTTGTGGCCTTATTTGTTTTAATTGTTGGGACATAGCTCCTGAGACAAGAATGATTGCAATCAGATTTTATTTTGTGTAACCATAGATTCATGAATCCATACAGATATCTACACTTTTTTTGTGGTTATATTTCTTTTTTAATTTGTCGCAATGTAAAACATAAGAAACATAATATATATGTATAGTGTAAAATAGGAGGAAATAAATATGTAACATTTAAAAAGTTATTTATGTATTCTACATATACTACAGATACACAATGCACTCACATCAGTAGATTTCTCTGTTATAGTAGGGAATCACCTTCATATATCTATCTTCCTCTTACTTTTTCAACTGTTAAACATGTTAGGCAGGGTACACGCACACACACCATATCACAACTCATTCTCCAAGACAGACAAGGCGTCTTATGCTAGCAGTTCACTCGAGGCCTGTGCTATTGTGTAGTTCATGGAAAATCATATCCTTACATTCAGAGTCTGTCTTCAGTTTACAGAAGATAGGAAAGGAATTTTTACAATAAACAGTGTATTGCTCTGAATGGCAGCTTGCATAGTTTTGAACATTTATATCAGTTGATGGTTGCACAACGCTGCAGCTATTCAGAAATGGAATTGGCTTTCTGCTGTATAGCACGTGTGGTGTGAGGTTGTTTACTGCAACTGACTGCTGCTCCAGTTGTGGTTTTCTAAAGACTACAGAGACTCCATTAGGACCAGGCAGGAAAGAATACTGAGCATCTTTGTGTTTATTTTCTGCAGCCAAAGTGGACAAGCAACGCAGAGTGCATGTTAATCACTAAAACTGTATTGCCAAATGTAATGCATTACGACATTTTATCTTCTCAAGCAAAGTGTGGATTTATTTCTGGGCTGTAAAAGCCTGTTGTAAACTCCGATATTGGCAAAGACCTTGCATTTTTGTGTCATGCTGTTTTTTTGTCCCTGTGTTTCCTGCTCAGCTACATCAGATTTTGAGAGCTGATAAGATTTCAGTTCTTTGCATATTGTTTGTTATGAATTCTATTATTGGGCTAGTTCTTTGTTCTACAGTGGCATGTAGCCTAACAAGAGCCAAATGAAAGATGGTGTGAACTACATTGGGAATCAAAGACAATATCTGTTTTGCACATTTAAAGGAGTTCATACGAAATTATGAAATCTATTGAGCCAACCTTTTTTTTATTTCCTCAATAAAACCAGCCGTGCCCTAGTAACGGAAAAGGTTTAATTCCTGGGGGAGGTCTGGTAGGTCAGATTACCCCATTGTTTTTTTGTGCTCTATTGAGTTGCCAGTGCGCTACTCCCTGTATGTCAGAGTCCACATGGCCCTTATCGCACTGGCACTGAGCTGCCATGGCTGCCCTGACTCCTAGATACTGACACACACGCACACACACTCACTACCAGGGGTGTCATGACAAAATTTGAGACTTTGAGTTCAACAGCCCAATTGGAGTGATGCCATGATTACAGTAAACAATGTTACTACACCAACCAAACATTCAGGTCCAGGTTGACAGTTTTTATACTTACCAGTATGGACACAGTTTGCTTAATAACCAGTGTTAAGGTTCAATACGCAGCGTTACAAAACAGTATTGTTCAAATGTGGTCATAAGACCAAATTCCTTAATGCATTAAAACACACTATAAGCGTGTACCAACAGGAAATGTGTCTACTCTTATTTTCTGGTCGTTATATTTATTCCTCTAGAGTCTGATATTGGAGTCCCTCTGAGATTGAGTGTAATTTCCTGAAACTGTCCAAGTCACTTTGTG